GTGTAATGAAAACCCTACAGCACGTGCTTGACATGGCTTACACGACCCCTAAAAAGGGAGGACGTAGCTCATCATATCTAGTATCTTCAGCGTTTTCATATTTACAGTAAAAATGATGCTGATTTTTTAAGATTGGAGAAAACTATGTTTGCACGATTGCACAAAAGTGTAAGGTATATCTTACGCAGTAGTATAGTATGTGCTCCGCAACGCCCTCCACCAAATCGATGTGGGACTCATCGAAGCATACTTCTTTTGTCGATCAAAGCAAAAAAACGATCAACGAGCACTCACTGTATTTTCAATTACGTTCCGCTCCTTTCACCATACAGCACCAGCGCTTAATAACATATTCGCAACAGAAATTCTCTGTCACATCGACTACTACATGGCCTTGCAAGCCTCCTAGAAAGGCATTTTCCATGCGGTTGACGACTTTAAAGCCATTTCAGGTAGGCGACATGCTTCCCGTTTGTAAGCGAAAGTGTCGTGACACTGTCTGCAAACATATTCACATCGTTATTATTGATACTATCAAACTAATGTTGCTCGCCACGCAAAATGCCTATGCACTTTAACCTATTGCCGATTCAGAGAGCGCGAAATCTCTAATTGCTCACGTTTAAATACATTAGGAGTATTCCCTGCGATTAGCAGCGATTGATAAAATCCATATCTTCATGAGAGCCATAACTCAAATACTGATAGCTGGCAGGACTACCAAAAAGAATAGGGTTTTTGGGCCGCCAAACAGTGCATCAGTGAAGCAAACGTCCTACTGGAGCGTCGATTAACTTTGACTTTGCGGAGTTTAAATCACAGCTTGGATATCTGGTGGGAACGCATCACCATAAGTTCTTGCTGTAGTAGCGTCGTTCATTTCTTTGGTTTAGCTGTGATTGCTATCGTTCAAGTCTTGGAACAGGGTTAAATTTGGCTATCAGGTGTAATGTAATAGGGCTTCACGTACTCTGTTATGAAAGAATGGGTCACACAAGATGGTGTGACCGTAAAAGGTGTGGCTATATCGTAATAAGAAGCCACTACGTGGCACGACTGCCTTTACCGTGAAGGGCTTTGAGAAGTCACGGAAAATCCTTATCAGTTCCGGGGCGTCGGGCAATTAAGCTCGATGCTCCACGATAGAAGTAAGTATGCTGTATGCCGAGGCGCTGAAAGCGCGGTCGAGTAACACCTAAAGATTTTAGGAAGGACAGAGGTAGAAGTGATGTGCACTTGTGTGTGCAAATGCAGGAGTGAGTTGAGCATATTAGTTTTACTATTTAATCCGGCAAACGTAAAAGATTGATAAATAGGCGGTTTTGCCGCAAATAAAATATATAAATACAACTTGGATTTTGAACTGATGCATTTGCCTTGGGTCAAGGATTTAAGTACTCTTGGAGGTAGCGGATTGCGATCCGCTACACTCGTACAGGTTCTAGTATAGAACGTAAGATCGGAGACCTTAGCTTAGCTTCCTCTACGCAAAGAGCTTCGGCAGCCCTGCTGTACTGATTGGTCAATCTACAATTAGGTATCCTCTGTGAGGATCGAGCAATTCTCCTATTTGCCCCAGGGCATTCAGGACGGGCTTAAAAAGCTGATGTCCCTGCTTGGCCCTGAGGGCGTACAACATCTAGCTTCGCAATGACTTGATTCGAAAAGCGCGCGTTTTCCATCACGAAAATGCTCTGTTAGAGTACCTACAGCATGCGTCGCGTCTCCCTAGAATTTGAACATGACAAGAACAATTTATCAGAGGAATAATGTCCCACTTCTGAGCGACATCGTGATTTTCGATCTAGGATGCACGATCATTTACACGCCTTAAATGACATACTCTTTCACAGGTTGATGTTGTTCACAACGAGAAACATGTACAGAAACGCTACTTTACCATCCCTTACAGTGAACTAGTCTTCTAAACATAATCATTTCATTATCTGCAATCATCATTTAGCTGCAAATATAATTATCAGCTCTCTACAATTATTGATCGCTACGTAGCTATCTACACTCCCTAACTGGTGGTCTCTAAGCACAAACTGCGGCTTCAAAATTATATTAGCCTCAAATGGATGGCCGGTTGAAAAAAGTATCATTGCAGAATGTTTTTTTGCAAAGTACTATCAGCAAGCAATATTCACAGAATGTCTACGCTTGTTATCTGACACATCGAGTTAATAAGATGCATGACTCTAAGCAAGCTCCTTATCCAGACCGCGAAAGAAAGGTGCTCTGCGCACCCACGTGCGTGGTAACACTTCCTCATTTGTGGCCAGGCGTAATGTGTGGGTCTCATCACGCACAAGCAAGTATTTCTTTTTTGTACTGATATCCTTGATCGCTAGACGATATTTGGCTTGTTTTTTGCTGTAATTCGGATTAGCGAAATTCTTGAGCGGTTCAATCTTGTTATTAGAGGCTAGTCGCTGCAACTCTATTGCCTCTTCCGGGTACAGCTGATCTGTTTGTCCGTGTCTACCCATGCGGCGGAAAAGCGGCGGGTAACCTTCAAACTCATCACTAAGAAAAAAGAAATCCGGGTTTCGATAGGCATCTTTGTCGATATCCATAAGCATAGCCTTCTCACGATCATCTAGCTCATGATCCGGTTCGAGCTCTTCCTCCTCCTGCCGTGCGCGCTTTTTAAGACGAGCGACTTCCTTTTCGTTACCTGCGGCTTCAGCATCAACAATCTTTTTCGTCTTCTCTTCCATCTCTTTTTTAGCTTTGTCTTTGGCCTCCTGCACTTTTGCACGAAATTCCTCAGGCGTAAGCTCAGCCTCCATGCGCTTTAACCAGATAATGGCCTCTACACGGGGTTTAGCAAGGTGAAACTTACGAGCCAGCACCTCAGGAGTCCACCGCAGTGGGTTTTCGAGGAATAATTCCATGATCAGCTCATCTAACTCATCATTCTCTTCTACACCACCCTTGTTAACATCTGGTATAGTATCCGCTTCAATATCTCCATCTTTTCCCTCACTATCTTCGTCAAGATTTTCATCTCCATACTCTTCAGACTCGTCATCTTCTTCTCCCTTCTTAGTCTTCTCATCATCCACTAAGCTCAAAAAGCGCGATGGTGTTGACTCTGAAGATTCAAATCGCACATCACCAACGCAGCACAAAATCTTGGGTGTAATAAGCGTAGGCGAGTGAAGTAAAGGACCAACGTGCGCTTTGTACACTGTGCAGCGACTACTTCGCGCGGCTCGGACTAGGACACGACAGAATGCGTGCTGCATTATTTTAAGCTGTGGTTGCAAAAGCTCTGTGGTCAGTACCTTACCGGTATATATACTAAAAACGGTATTTGATACAGTATCTAAGTCGTAAATGCCCGTAAAGGCGTGGGTGGTTGGCTTCTTGTGGCGGCATCTGGTGCTCGTTCTTTTCCTTGTTTTTAGCTCGATTATCGCAGTGATTGTCTATGAAGTGACTGGTGGTGGAAAGCCTAAAGCTTGGACATACAATGCTCTACAGCTCAACACGGTAGACCTCGAAGGTTCCGACCGTCCACACACACTATGGACGGACGACGACTTTGAGTGTATTGGTTGGCGCGCTACGCATAATTGTGACCCATATGGACCTAGAGATTGGAGTCGTGACCGTAAATGTGGAGAGCCCTTGCCACGCTCAAGCGGCTTTTGCGAGGTTCGTAACCGAACGAGTGGTAGAGTCTTACGTATCATGCTGGCCACATGTAAGAGCTGGCAATGGTATTTAGTACCAACACTCTCGTGTAATGATGCACGGCGTTTTACGGACTTTAGTATTCAAGCAGCTAGTTACCGTCATCCACCACTTAAGCTTTCACACTTACAGTCTGGACAGATTGAAGATATTGAAGCAAGAGGCATCGTCATGATTGCTTATCCTAAAGTCGTAGCAGGAACTTATGCAATTGTAAGGACACTGCGATTTCTAGGTTGTGCTTTACCTGTGGAGGTGTGGATTGACCCGACGGAGATGACAGCCAAACATTCAATTCTTGTTGAATTGGTCAAGTATTATAATGTAGTAGTAAGAGTTATTGAAGACCCGAATGCTTCCAAATTTCATGCAAAACCGTACGCAATATATCATTCCAGATATGAAAGTGTGCTGTGGCTTGATTCAGATAATATTCCTGTACGTGATCCAACGTATCTGTTTGAGACGCCAGAATTTGTCAAGTATGGAGCAATGTTTTGGCCAGACTTTTGGAGACCAGCGGTTGATACGCCATTTAATGTGCACCAACAAAGTGCTTTGTGGACGCTGCTTGATATGCCATTTACTGATATGTTTGAGCAAGAGAGTGGACAGTTGTTGCTGAATCGTTCAAGATCAACAATGGCGCTAAGTAAGCTTATGTTCTACTCATTACATATGCCACGACTGATCACGGATTGGCGTTTGGTTTGGGGTGACAAGGATCTCTTCCGACTAGCATGGCTTAACACATCAACACCATTCTATATGGTACAGCACCTTGTAGCTCTTGGAGGATTATATCAAGAGGATGAAAAATTCTTTTGTGGTGTATCGATGATTCAGCGTGATCCACAAGGCGATATCATTTTCATGCATCGTAATCAAGCCAAACTTACTGGACGACGTGATCAAAAGCCACTTATTAATTATCTTCAGAAATTCACGGGCGGTGATGGCACCTTGGCATCTCTTGCACGCGATTTGGATAAGTATCGAGTGCAGTGCAAAATGCGTCGATTAGGACAGTACACATGCTTTATGCTAAATCCTCGTGCACCTGATGGTAGTGTCACACCATCGCTAACACTTAGTCTTGAGAACACAAAGTATTTATCGATAGAGCAGCATGCTATTGGCTTTTCTATAGAAGGTCGTGGGCTTTTTAACAAGGAAGAAGAAGCTGAAGTTGCAAAGATTGAAGAGGATGAGCAAGCAAAGCAGGACGCAGAAGCGACTGCAATTATTCAAACAAGTAAACGAACTGAAAGACTGACGCGGGGATACATCATAATAACTCTTGCCGTTTCAATTGCGATTTGGCTACGATGGCAATGGCTTCAGAAGACAAAAAATCTGTCAGTGACATCTGTCGAAGAGACTTCATTGCACGTCGCGCTGGCAGTAGATCCTCCTCTTTCTCAACAATCTTCTGGATCATCGACAGCATTATTCACAGGTACTACCCAAAATTCCAGACGACGTAATTCGTCTTTCCAACTTGACAATTAACAATCATCAAAACTTTGACGTGTTTAAATTAAAGGCACGTACGGACAGGTCGAGCGTAAATATCACCAAAACATCAAGTTTGCTCAAGAATGAGAATTATATTTAAAGCAAGCGACTTTGGTAATATGTGGAGACCTCTCATCACTCAAATTCATTTGCTCTTTCCTAGTGCACTGCTTGAATCTCTGTATCACATTATGACTTAACAGATGTAGTCGTTCGTACTGACATGCATTGCTTTATCCTTCTGGTCCTAACCAATGAAATACCAAAGCATTTCTCGCACATTTGTGTATACTCAATTTAAATAATTTTTCAGAGGAATGTCAAACTAAATTGATCAACCTATTACTGCAAGTCAGGCAGAGTGGTACAGTTTGACGCAAAACAGATCGCGAGACCGCGATTTCGATGACAAAGTGAACCTGAGAGAAATGACGTATTGAGACTTTGTCGTTATCTTGCTTGCAACATTCAACAATCTTGCAACGGCAGCTGTCCAGGCAACATAGCCAGTAGTTATACATTTAATTAGGTTTTGCTATATGGAAGGGTAAACTAGCGTTGAATTAAGGTTGTAGTTATCCATGGAGTAACTGGATTGCGATCCGCTACAGTCGTACTGGTTCTGAGTAAGGCACGAAGGTCACCGCCTTAACCAAGCTTTCTCTGATTGAAAGAGTGACGGCAGCCCCGCTGCACTTGGTAGCACTTGTATTCAAATTACACCTGAGTCGTTACGACTAACCCTCTGTAAGGATGAAGCAGTTCTCTTATTTGTCCCAGGGAATGCAGGACGGGCTTAAAAAGCTGATCTCTCTGCTTGGTCCCGAGATCGTGCAATACATCGCTTTGCAAGTTTCGCAAGCGATCAGCGCGCGCCTATAGGCGTTTTCAAGCTATGAAAATGCTCTACAAGAGCACCTTCAGCAGCAGATGTCGGCGTCGACTGCGTCCATGACGCCACAGTCGACGACAGATGACCACTCCCTGACCCAAGCCATTGTCAAGACCTTCAAGGGCAAGGATGAAAAGAATTTCCTGCTCTGGGTGAGAAAGGCCGAGATCGCTGTGGCACCTGCCATGCTCCAGAACGAGCAATAGCGCGTGGTGCTGGCTATTTCCAAGCTCGGTGGTCGAGCGCGAGAACAGGCGCCGACGTGCGGCACTTCGTCGAAGCGGCATTTCCCCCTTGATGGAGCTAAAGCCGTAGCTTTCACGAGTGTTCTCGCCGCCTAACCAGGCATATCGCGTGCGATCGCGTTTCCTTGCCACCCGACAGGGCAAGAAGGATTTGGTGGACTTCGTCCACGAAATGCGAGCTCTTATTGCCGGTATGGCAGCCAATCCTCTTCCCGTGGAGGTTATAGTGATCGTCTTTATGGAGAATAAAAGTCTTAAGAAAGCACCTGTCGTTTTTGAGGTAGCAGTGAATGTGGTATTGAATACAGAAGTCAACTTAAAGTCGGCACGACTTGGTTGAAATGCACACTCTAGCAGCTCGTCGAGCGGGCCTGAGCCGATGGAACTCAGCTATGCTGAGGATATGGAGATGGTAATTTAAGCTACCGAGCAACGTTCGAACACCCGATTGTGTTTGTATGTGGAGACACCCGTCGACCTTGTTGTACCCTGCGCAAGACGCGTAAAGATTCATCAAACTGCCATTCAGCTTCTTACCAGTTTGTCTCGGAGAAACGACAACGCCCAGTAGGCGTGGGGTACCCACTGGCGAGAAATAGAGTTCTGGTGAGTCTCAAAGTGGTAGAGGGCAGCAGGGCCCAGCCTGGAAGTTTTCCGTGCTCTTGAACGCGGAACGTGTATGCAAGCCAGACCTGCTGGTCGTGGAGGCGACCGTAAAGAGCTTCAAGAAGCCATGGAAGATCCTCATTGATCCCGGGGCGTCGGAGAAACATGTTCGACGG